TTTTATATTCCATGCTGGAAAAGACGTTTTACTTTATAAAAAAAAAAAAAAGGGAAAAGAAAAGAGAGAAGAAAGAAAGGAAGGTAAAAAAGAAAAAAGAAAGAAAAAAGAAAAGAAAAGAAAAGAAAAGAAAAGAAAAGAAAAGGAAAGAAGCGTATAAGTACATAATCCCTCATCTTTCTCGTTCGATCTTTACGTTTATTAGAATTATAATAGACCTTAGAATTAATTATAAACGATCGATTTACGATTAGAGAAGACGTAAGATATCTATAAGTTTGGAATTTAAGAAGTAAACTAAATGCGGATTATGAACTGTTCGCGATCGAACGATCGATCGATCGAATCGTTTATCTTCTAGGATAAAGATCGAGCTAAAATATTATTCTCGTTCCGATGTCTTGGTTACGGGATAAAAGCGAAGATACGATGGCGATGCTGGCCAGAGAGAAGGGTAGTAGTATAGAAAGAGGAGATGGAAGTAGAGGTGGTGGTGGGGGAAAGGGGATATAACGAGTCACGTCCATTCCAGACGAGGGCAATGGCACTGCCATTGGCGCCCGAGGCTTCTGGAAACGCGTGTGTCCACCCTCGCTATCCACCCTCTTCTCTCTCTCTCTCTCTCTCTCTCTTTATCGTGCTCTCATTTCTCTCCTCTATTTTCGTCGTTCTCTCTCTCTCTCTCTCTCTCTCTCTCTCTCTCTCTCGCGTGCCCTTTTTACCCCAGCATCCCCCTTTTTCGAGCGTCACGCAGCGGTAATGATAGCCAGCGCATTATGTTTTACGTGGGAGTGGCAACAGCCGTGACCGAAATGTCCCCGTCGCTCTGTCCACTGATGGTAATTGCATTTTACTTTTCCTGGGAGATCTGCGTTTTGGTAAACATACGTCCAACCACTACTAGCATTGTCCAGCATCACTGATGGCATCGACATCGCCACTAACGCGTAGGCGTCATCGTGCAAATTCGTATGAACGGACGAACGAACGAATGTGAACGAATGTGAACGAACGAACGACGTGTACACTTGGTTGATTTATACTTGCACGTTTCATACATATATCTATGCGTACGTATAAGTCCTGTAAAACCTCTATCAACAATGTCCACCACGAATATTTGGATAATGGAATAGACCGATCTCTTCCAATGATATATATCCTAATGTAGAACGCAACTATATTCATATATACTATTTCTTTCGTAGGTAACTATCTCTCTCTCTCTCTCTCTCTCTCTCTCTCTCTCTCTCTGGCACTTCTTTTGGATCGGTCGTTTTAGAAAAATTTTTTTATTAAGACAGTATTTCTCAACGTAACACGAATCTCAACGAATTTGTGAGAGATAGAGGAACGGGAAATTTCGATTCGGTAATCCTCAGTAGCATCACCACCACCATCACCACCACTATCACCATCACTATCACCACCCATCACCTCCACTACCACTAGTAAAGCTTTCTCCCCGGAGCCATTCCTCCTCGCATTATTTTAGGAGGGTCGTTGACTCTTCTTCCTTCGTTCTTGGATCCCACGAGATCGAACGTGGGTGTCTAGATAAAAGCTTAGATATAGTTCGACATTCTTTAGTCCGTAAGTCTAACGAATGTGAAGTGGAGCGTGTGTGCTTGCTCTCTTTTCGATGTAGATATATATATATATATATATATATATATATATATATATATATATATATACATACATATATAATATCGCGCGTATACGTGTATCTTACTGTGTGTGTGCACGTGCATGCGCCCACGCGCACGTGCGTGTGTATGTGAATATGTATGTACGTATATAGATACGTGAATATTTATTACGTTTGCGCGTTAAAATCTGGGTGATATCCCACGAGACGTCATTCGTGCGTTCACGTGTCAAGAGAAATATGCACGTGCCGTTTGCACGCATTTTCGAAAACATCCGCTCGTTTCTGCACGCGTGACCGTGTGCATAGAAATCAGATCAAAATGGTAAAAGTACTAAAGTTTCATAAATATTCACGCGTATGATTTGTAAGTTTCATATTGGATTAATTCATTAGTAAGAAATTTTTTATTACAGTGTAACGTCATTGGGATAATTATTTATCCGATAAATAATTGCCAAACGATTTGACTGAGGAATTCTGATTTAAAAAAAAAGAAAAAACAAAGTATCATTTTCGTTCGATTCGTTAATAATTACCTCAGTTGTAATAGTCATACCAAAAAGAAAAAAAATAACATATATATATATATATATATATATATATTTATTTTTTTTTTTGTCGTTTTTTAAATTGTTTTTTTCTTTCTTCTTTTTTCTCGAATACAAAAGTTTAAAAAAACAAGATAGAGTTATTTATTATTGCTTATAATAACGAATATATATACGTACATACATTCATACATACATACATATATACATACATACATACATACATACATACATACATACACACATACATACATACATACATACATACATATATACATATATATGTATATATATATAGGTACGAAAAGAAAGCCATATGACAACGTGGTATAACCATTGGAGCGGGGGGAGAGGGCATTGAGAGGACAGACACCACCCAGTAGCGGTTTAACCAGCTGTGAAAATCGCTCGTTACCAAGTTTCGTTGGGCTCTTCGAAAATCTCGTTACAGGGATGATACCCAGTTCCCTTCTTTACCCCCATGGGAATATGGTGACCTTCTCGTAAAGTGAATCTACAGTCTCACGAACGCCATCGTTATCCACATCCCGTTTCTCGCGGGATAGGTGTACCTTGATGAAATTGCGAAAAGAGATGCCCACTCGTACGTTTCCATTAAAATCCAGACGAGTATTCGTTGCTCTCTAAAATAAATCGGCGGACGGTCACGCATCCGCGAAAATTTTTACTGAATTTTTTCCTTTCTTTTTCTTTCCTTTTCTTTTCTTTTCTTTTCTTTTCTTTTTTTTTTGTTTTCTTTTTTTCTCCCTATCATTCAGCCGTTCCCATTTAATTCATTTGAATTCTACATCGTTTCGAAAAAAAAAAAAGAAAAAAAAAAAAGATATGAAGTAGGAAAGAACGAACGAATCGTTCGTTCAAGGTAAACATCGCGATTTCTATGATTATATATATATAGATTTTTTATTTTTTAATTCTAACATTTTTATTGACGATCGAGACGATAAACGAAATTAATTCTCATTTCTTTTGTTCGATCGACAAGTCATTGTGATAATTATAAAAAAAAAAGAACATAGCGATCATTCTGACGTATTAATTGTGACATTTATGAAAAAAGAAAAGATATATGAAAAAAAAAAGAAAAAAAAATCAAATAGATATATAGATAAACATAATAAATATAAACATAATTCTATTATATTCTACGAATAAATAGAATATAGATGAACGATGATTAAATTAATCCTCCTTTAATAGATCTTCGTCATTTCTATTCGTACAAATTAATTCGATAAATAATTAATAATATATTCGAAAAGAAATCGACGTGCATTTACATAAGTACGTGAAATTAGTGGGACGGGATTAGGGGTAGGAGGAGGAGAATAGAAATGGGGGTGTAGAAATCAGTGCTTTAAATTACAAGGAAAAGCTTGTGGATTTCGTTCAACGTTGGTGTCCTTTCTTCGGGCTTCATAAATCACAAGGTCCTTGATCCAAGGACCGCGGGCAAGTCCGCCCGGAAGTAACTCCGGAAAGATATCTAGCCGTGCCATCGTTCATTTCCGGACAGCCTCCACTTGCAGCCGGCACTTTCCTCTTGCGCCAGCTTTTACCTCGGAGCTTGCTTTCGACGTGGAATACACACACACATACATATATATATATATATATATATATATATATATATATATATATATACGTATATACGTAAGAGCTTCTCGTACTTGCTCGCGCTTGCGTATTATATATTTGTATATATATGTATATATGTATGTATATATGTATGTACATACACGTACGTGAGCGAAATTCGGTCCGTACGTTCGCATATACACGGTGGCGCGTTTTACGATAAAAATAGATCTGTGCTCAAAGTAAACTACGAAATATTGTACCCGGATTTAGGTGCTCCTCTCTCTCTCTCTCTCTCTCTCTCTCTCTCTCTCTCTCTCTCTCTCTCTCTCTCTCTTCTCTCTCTCTCTCTCTCTCTCTCTCTCTTCTCTCTCTCTCTCTCTTTGTTTCTCTCTCTCTCACTGTCTGGTCATCATCTTTTATTTCTTGAAGCTTCATTTAAAAATTAATCGATTTCGTTAAACATAGTGGATAGAAAATGAAAAAAAAGAAAAAGAAAAAAAAAGTGAAAAAGAATGGGGAAAGAAAGAAAGAAAAGGTATGACAAAGTTTTATATATATATATTTTTTTTTTGTTTTTTTTTATTTCGTTATTAGCTAATTTTTCTTATTTACAATTATTTACAATACAAATTTACAAGGAAATAAAGAAATGAAAATATTGTATAGAAAATATCTAGATAGATAAATAAAAATACGTATACGGAATGGTTTGCATCTTGTTATACGTATCTACGTGTAGAAACGGAATGTAGAAACAATGATTGTTTATCGCGTTAAAATGAATTTGTTTCGTCGTAATTTGAAACCAACGAATCACTGATTACCGTCATCCAATTTATCATTATCGACAGTACTGGAAACATATCGAACATCAATCTTCCAATTTACATTATATCATAATATGTACATATCTCGGTGTATCAATTAATCATTTTTCCCTTTCTCTCTCTCTCTCTCTCTCTCTCTCTCTCTCTCTCTCTCAGTTTTTTTTCTTTCTTTTTTTTTTTTTTTTAATTCATTTCGACTCTCTTAGAAACTCTTTCACATCTCGAGTCCTCGGACCGACAGCTAAAAGTCAACTGAACCAGAAGGAACTTTTCTCTTTTTCATTTTTTTCTATTTCTTTCTTTTTTTTTTTTTTTTTTTTTTTTTCTTTCCTTTTTTGACTTTTTGTTTCTTTTTCCTTTTTCTAAAAGATGAAGGCGTAATACTATGTCAGATGGAAGGGTATCGTCTACTTCGTTCAAGTTGCTCCAGCAATGCGGCAGAAGAAGAAGCCGAACGAAAGGCGAACCAGATTTCATCGACGTAATCGTCGTCGCTCTTTCAAAGGCGAGCCGTGATTAAAACTAACCCCTTTGCTAGAAAAGCTCCAACGATCGATCGCGCCTTCTTAACACGTAAGGACGTTTCTTTCGCGTTTATTTTTGTTTTTTGTTTTTTCTCCTTTTCTTTTCTCTCCTTCCTCTTTCCTCCTTTTTTTCATCTTCTTTCCTTTTCTTTTTTTCTTTATTTTTTTGTTTTTGCACGAAACAAATTTGCACGACATTTCTTCTTTTCGGGAGTGTGCTCACTATGTATACAGTTTGGTGGTGTTTCATAACGCGTGAACGTTATGAAACTTCACCGGCGGATTCATCGCACTAAAATAAGAAAAAAAAAAAAAAGAAAAAGAAAAAAACGTTCGTACAAAAATATACTCGATATGAGCTTGTTTCCAAGATATCTATCTATGTATGTATGTATATATGTATGTATGTATGTATGTATGTATGTATGTATGTATATGTATATATGTATGTATGTATGTATGTAGGAGACATGATGCAATCCAACCGATTTAGAAACATAAGAAGAAAATATTTACACAATAGAGAGCGTTATAAAGATTTTTATAAGATCGTATAATTCATCAAAATTGTTATTTACGAAAACGATTTTGAAGGGGAAAAAATAGGCCTATCAAAAGAATCGTTTCGAATATCGAAATTATCGGCTGTATCTTGGAAAAAAGAAGAAAAAGGTCATATCGGGCGTATATGCATTTTACAGGAATTTCTTTTTCTTTTCCTTTTTTTTTTTTTTTTACTTCAATGACGCTAAATTCTAAAATTTATAATATAAATATTCTGAAAAATTCTAATTACTAATTCAAAAATTACTCGACGATGGATTGATAATTATAAAGAAAAGAAAAGAAAAGAAAAAAAAAACAGAAAAAGAAATTAATGAAATTATAGAATATATAATTTTGTCGAATAAATAATTAACTAAATGTCGAATAATAAAAATCTAGATCATGTAAATCAAAATCGTATTAAATCGTTCATTCTTAGAGAAAGATACTAGAAGGACACTTTATCTATTGTAAACATTAATAAACCGATGACCTATACGTTGTGTAAAAAATCGAGGCTTCTTACATATATATATATGTATATATATATATATATATATATATATATATATATATATATATATGACCTTACCCTTCAATTTAAAATAGTATACCTCGAGACTTGTTAAATGTCATAAGCATTTATTGTTTACACGTCTCTAGACGATTTACTATGTATTTACTTATGTTTCGTCGAGTACTCGAGGTTATCTTAACCATTCGTTACGTTATCTCGTCGAGAAGTAAAATATTAGCGCTGTTCTCACGTTTAGATTTTCATAAGAGTGAATGAGAGAAAAATAGAGAGAAAAGCATAGAAGGATCATAAAGTGCGTTGTCCTAATTTAGATTTCTTTATTCTTTTCTTCTTTTTTTTTTTTTTTTTCCTTTGAAAGAGAGTGAAAACGTATCATCGTCATTCCTATAAATCGTCGTTTAATAGTATTTAATTTTTCTATGATTGAAAATCGTATATTTCTATTTTCTAGCAAGATAAATAATAACATAGAAATTAAAAGAAAAAAAAGAATGATTTAAAAGAAAATATGAGTGGTTTAAAAGGTCTAGAGAAAGAGAGAGAAAGAGAGAGAAAGAGAGAGAGAGAGAGAGAGAGAGAGAGAGAGAGAGAGAGAGGGAATGGAGTGAGGGTGCAGCAATCTGCAGATACCTCGACTCTACCTGATTACGTTGCTAGTTCTCTAATTACAGAGAAACCTACAACGATACTCGTCTCGACCCCGTTCGGTAACGTTCGTGTAACCTTCCGAACACGAGACTTATTCCGGAAGACGTAGAGAAAATGGAAGAGTTTTAGAGGATGGATAAGTAACAAAGTACGAGGAATTTTTGGCTTCTCAAATATTCTATGATCTTCTTAGAAAACGAGATCCGTTCACGTAAGTATTTAATTCTTATCTCTCTCTTTCTTCCTTCCTTTTAGATCCATCAAATATTTTATTCGGCGGTGGAATTATTTTTCTTTCATTTCTTCTTTTTTTTTTTTTCTTTTTTTTTTCCTTTTTTCTTCTCATCATTCATTATACAAATAAAATAGGATCACGAACTTACAATCGATTCGTAAAACATTTTTTTCGACAATAACAAATACTTTTCATTGTTTTATATATCACGTAAAATATATATAATTATAAATGTAAATATTTATATAATTATACGTAAATATGCTTACGTATGTAATATACGAAACGGCAAGGATATACATATATAACATTTCTCGTATGATAAACAAAAGCTTAAAACATTGGAAGATGATCGTTCGTAATTGGTATGACAAAAATAATAGGAAATATTCCTTCGTTTCTTTGTTTAGTATGAGACAAAATGTACGTAACATGTATATATATATATATATATATATATATATAGTACGTATTAAACATACACGTGGAACGGAGCTGTAGCAGGTGTTACACGAAATACGATAAGTTCCAACGAATTTCGAAATTCTAAGAAAATCCTTAGGAAAAGGTACTATAATTTATGCCGTCTAAGTTAAAGCGTCACGAAATTTCTAATCAAATATTAACCAAGGAAATCTACTGGACCTGGAAGATACGAAAATTAGACTCGTTTATTTTAAATACCGTTATAATCGAGAGATCGAGAAATAAGAGAAAAAGAGGAAGAAGGAAAGAGAAAGAGAGAGAGAGAGAGAGAGAGAGAGAGAGAAAGAGAAAGAGAGAGAGAAAGAGAGGATGTATCCCCAAGGCAAATAGAGTCTCTTCTTCCTCATCCGCCTGGTTTCATGCCTTCTCTCTAGTTTCTATTTTCCCTAGGGAAAAGACGACGGTAGGCAGAGCATCTTGCAGCCAGGAAATTGCGACTAAGAGATAACTTCTCCCTCTCTTTTTCTCTTTTTATCTCTCTCTCTCTCTCTCTTTCTCTCTCTCTCTCTTTCTCTCTCTTACGTACACACACACACACACACACACATATTCATTTTATATCTTTATTCCATCCTCATATAACGTTCGATAATTTTTATAATTTTGAAAAAAGTTTAAGATTCGTCTACGTACAATATAATTATATTTAATATAAATTCTGATCCAAAATATTTTCAAAATTTTAAAAAATTTTATTAATTAACATTAGTTTCCATTAGTTCGGTACAATACAATTATATTTTTTATACGCGTTCTAAATCTAATTCATTTAAATTTATATATTTTCTAATTTTTAAGTTATCCATGAGAAGAAAGAAAAAGA